GCCCGCCGCCGGCGCCGCCTCCCGGGCAGGGCGTGGGGAGCCCCAGGTAGGGCCGGGCCCTCCTCAGACCCTCCCTAGCTGCTCTCCTTGGCAAGGTCAAGTGCCCGGCCGGGGCCCTCCGCCACCAGCCCAGCTTCTCCTGAGCCTGTCTACTTTGCCAGAGGTGCCCAGACCCCCGGGCCGTGCTCTGTAGGACACGGCCCGCACACCCCCACCCCACCACCCACACAGGAAGAGTCTCGGTGGTGCCCGCTCGGAGCCTCCACGGCCCCCTGCCCCGGGGGGCACTTGCTGGGGTCTGCAGCCCCACGGCCGTCTGCGCTCTGGTCTCACCTGTCTCCGCGCTCACCACTCTGGGCCCAAAAATTCAAGGGCAGGACCGCGAGAGTGGGGACCTGCTCGCCCGGCTCAGCTGTTCCAGGGGCCAGAAGACCCACGGGACTGGGCACGGAGCCCCGGCCGTCCCCCCCGCAGCCGCCATGTGGGGACGGGCTGCGCCCGCAGGGCTGGGAGGGCACCCTCGGCTGGGTGCGCGGCCAGCTGGGGCGGTCAGGCTGGCCTTGCCGCTTTGGCCGCTATCTGTAAGCACCCAGCGGCAGGCGCACCCGGGCCGTGTCTGGAGCCCGGCGGCAGAGCTGGTGCCCAGCGTCAGCACCCCCGGGAACGAGTCCCATGTCCTGGGAGCGAGTCCCAGCAGGGAGAAGCAGGACAACGGGGTTCTGTGAGCCCCTCGTCAGTGCGCCTCCCTCCTCCGGGCCCCCCACAGGCATCTCAGACAGCAGCCCCGGCCGCTCTCCAGAGGCACTTGCCCCCCGCAGCCCTCAGGGTGTCTGTGGTGCGGCAGGGGTGGGCAGGGGTGGGCAGGGGTGGGCAGGGGTGGCTGGTGGGCGGGTGTGAGAGCCTGGTGGCGCGGGGATGTGAGGGCCTGGCTGTGCGCCTGCCGTGCTGTGTGTCTGGAGTGTCCGTGTGTCAGCGTGCCGTGATGTGTGTGCAGGTGTGTGGGGCTGTTCACGTGGCTGGTCGGGGTTGGGGCCGTGGTCAGGGCCCCACGTGGGGGACCCCACTCCCTGGCCGCAGCCCCTCGGGCCCTTCAGGCAGCCGTGCGGCAGGTTGTGTCACTGCAGGACGGCAGTGCTGGCATGGACGAGGGACACTCAGTGTCCAGGCGGACATGGGGGGCCGGAGGGCCTGCGCCAGGCAGGGGCGAGCCGCCGTCCGCGGGAAGCTGTTAGCACGAGGTGGGTGGGCAGGTGCGTGGGCTGCGTGTCGGGATGTGAGCTGGGGCGTGGCCGGGAGCTACTGCCAGGGGCCCCGTGGTTCCCACTGGGCAAAGCACCGTGTCTGTCTCCTCTATCCCTACCTGACTTTGTGCAAATCTTTCCAAGGACGGGGTGCAGCTGCCTGGCCACCTGCGCTGAGCTGGCCCAGCCCCCCGTTGGCCAAACCCACTCATTGCCGCAGTGCCCAGAGTTCCTGCTCTGCCCTCAGGTCTGCATGTGCTGCCCGAGGCATTTCTGGCCATTGGCAGGAATGTGTCCTTGCTCCCCCAGGTGCTTATGAGGCAGGCCCCAGCTAGGGCCAGAACCCCCATGGGGGCTTCTTCCTTGCCCTCACTCTTGCGGGACACTGTCCACAGGCTCCCACACAGAAGGATGAAGGGGGAGAACGTGACCAAGGTCAGCGCGTTCATCCTGCTGGGCTTCCCCACGGCGCCCCGGCTGCAGTACGCGCTCTTCCTCCTCTTCCTGCTCACCTACCTCTTCATCCTGCTGGAGAACCTGGCCATCGTCGTCACCGTCTGGAGCAGCTCCTCCCTCCACCGGCCCATGTACTACTTCCTGGGAGTCATGTCCATCATAGAGGTCTGGTACGTGTGCGACATCATCCCCAAGATGCTGGACGGCTTCCTGCTCCAGCGCAAGCGCATCTCCTTCGCGGGCTGCATGACGCAGCTGTACTTCTTCAGCTCGCTGGTGTGCACCGAGTGCGTGCTCCTGGCCTCCATGGCCTACGACCGCTACGTGGCCATCTGCCACCCCCTGCGCTACCAGGTCATCATGACCACGGGGCTCTGCGTCCGGCTCGTGGTCTTCTCCTTCTTCAGTGGCTTCACCATCTCCGTGATCAAGGTCTACTTCATCTCCAGCGCCAACTTCTGCGGCTCCAATGTCCTGAACCACTTCTTCTGCGACATCTCGCCCATCCTCAAGCTGGCCTGCACGGACTTCTCCACCGCGGAGCTGGTGGACTTCATCCTGGCCTTCATCATCCTGGTGTTCCCGCTCATCGCCACCGTCCTGTCCTACGGCCACATCGCCCTGGCCGTCATGCGCATCCCCTCGGCCACGGGCCGCTGGAAGGCCTTCTCCACCTGCGCCGCCCACCTCACGGTGGTCACCATCTTCTACACGGCCCTGCTGTTCATGTACGTGCGGCCCCAGGCCATCGATACGCGGAGCTCCAACAAGCTCATCTCTGTTCTGTACACCGTGCTCACGCCCATTTTGAACCCTCTGATCTACTGTATGAGGAACAAGGAGTTTAAGGACGCCGTGAAGAAGACCCTGGGCTCGGGCCAAGCTCCACTCTAGTGACACACTTGGTGTTTTCTCTCTAGAATCTCATCAGACAGTGGTGGCCTCTGGAGGCTTAGTCATCGGTGGTAATGGGGATCCCGGGTATCCGTGCAGGGTTTCCATTGTTTTAGAAGCTGCTCCCACATCTCATTCCTTTTAGGCTCCTGAACAGATGTTGGCCTTGACAGACCGTTTTCTTCATTGGACCTTTTCGCAAAGGGGAATAGCTATTCTTCATCTAATTAAAATGTCCTGCACATTTCAGGAAATACACCAGGTCACTGAGGACTTAAGTCCTAAATGAATGCCAGTGTTTTAAAAATCCAAAATATTAGGCTGTGTGGTCAAAGGCCCCCCCAGGACCCCCAGAGCAAAGCTTGTTGGGATTATAAGGCCCCACAGACTTTTATTCAAAGCTCTCAGCGGTTCCCCACTAGCTGTGTTGGGTGGGCCCAGTCTCTCCCCTCTATGTACCCGGCCACCCTTTGCTGGTGGAGGGTAAGGTGCCCTGTTCACATGCGTGATGAGTTAGGCCAGCTGTGACACTGCAGAGTCCGGCTCAACCCGCGGCTTCTTCATCTCTCATCTCTTTGGCTTCTGGGGTCAAACACAAAGAACCTCCCCAGGAACAGTGAGATTCCTGCCCTCTGTGGGTCAGCTGGATGCTGACAGGAGCCCTGGCAGGTTCATGAAGAGGAGCTGGCCTCCTTGGCATGAGTGCCATGACACAGGCCAGCACACCCCGTCAGTCAGGGGCCTTGTGCTCTGACTGGCTTTCCAGCATGGCCATCTGTCCAGGTGACCCATCTCCAGAGCTCAGCAAGCAGCTGTCACATGCCGGGGAAGATGGAGCGCCAGCTGGAGCGCACAGCCAGGCTGATGAGGAAATACAGGGGCATTGAAGGAGGAAGTCGCTAAGCCTAGGGGTGTCTGCAGCTTAGGTTCTGCTTCCTGCTGGAGCAGGGGTTGCTGGGGTGCAGCTTGTCCACAGTAGTGGCCACGGCCACGTGCCCACGCGCTGAACAATGAAGAGTGCCTGTGCTGCGGTGGCTGGAGCCAGGCTTCCTCATACAACCTGTAGGAAGCCTGCCGTCTGCTCTTCGGGGCTCAGCCCTTTGGGAGCCTCGCACTGGGCCTGCCCAGTGTGACAGTCTCTCCCTCTCCACCTCTCTGAGTGCTGTCTGGTTTCTCTGAAAAATTGCCAGAACATTTTGCTTCCCTGATCAGCAATCCAGCTTCCCTGGCCACTTTGACCACCAGTTTGGTGTTGAGGTCTTGCTTGGTGAGTTTCCCTTGAGTGAACAAGGTGGCATGCCCCTGCCCCTGGCGGGTTCTTCCTCCCTGAGGTAAGCAGCACTGGGACACCACCATACACACCACACCTAGACTTGCAGAGAGGTGAACAGAAAGATCCATCCCATCAGGACATCTGGATAAGGTAAGGCATGGGGCCTATCCCAGGGGATGGAAGGAGAGCCTGATCACCGCTCACGCCCCTCAAGGGGCCAGGTAGAGTTTCCTTGGGTCAGATGCAGAGCTGCTGTGTGAGAGTGTGAGTGCATGAAATGGTCTCCAGACTTGAGTTACAAGATGAGTGGTCTTGTTCTGCGGTTCTGTGATGACGACACAGGCTTACAGGCGATCTTTTGAAGGCAGCAGCGGGGGAGTTGCACGGGGTTGCCGAAAAGCCAAGTCCACAAGCTGTGCGCGGGACACAGCCAGGCAAGAACGTGATTGTTCCCTCCCTTTTGTCGTGACAGCAAACAGTGGGAGGCGTCTAGAGTAAACATGACTTCGAAGCCATCAGACTGTTCATGAATGTCCCTGCTGGACAACCCCGAGTCCCTGTTGAAACAAACTGTTCTGACCAAACTCAGGGATCAAATCTGTTCTGCCCCTGTGGATCACCCTGCGTCTCACTTTTGCTTCTAGACTTGGAAGCCTCATCTTGTGGGTCACCCTCCTTCGAGAGTAAAAAAAATAGCTGTCATGCAGGACTAGACTACACTCACCCTACACTGGCTTAAGCTACAGTTCCCCAGTGTCTGGGCCGAAAAATTCCCACCCACAGTGTCCCTTAGCCATGCTCCATTGCACAGCAGCCTTGAGCTCAGTGTGGTCCCCGTTCGGCCGCAACAATCTCTTGGGTGGCTAAGCCTGGCAGTCAGAAACACTGTAATAGACTGCTGGTCACCCTGAAATACTCCACGCCTGCGGGTCAGAAAGCTGAGAGGCCAGAGCCCATCCTCCACTCTCCGCCTGTCTCCTCGATGGCTTTTTTCCTGCACATCACATTCATGATTCAGCCTCTTTGTGCCTCCAGAGGGAGAGTCCATGGGACATGAAAAACTCAGCTTGACAAGCCTGCGAGGGCGCTAACAAAACACCCTCGCTGCAGAACTCTGGGCCCTCACCAGCACCTTCAACTGGCAAAAGAGCTCTCAGTTCCAGATTCCTTATGTGTTTGCCACCATCGACATGCATGGGGCATTGTTGTAGAAGGAGGGGGAAAGAGCTAGACCCTTCCAGTTGCTAGCAGCAGCCTGATGCCTAGCCAGAATGGCAGCCATTCACCGTCAGGGACATCAAAAAGGAAATGCTTCAACTGCTCAAAGTCTGAAGGCCGGTTGCAACATGGGCCCTCCTCTACAGGCCATCGGTGGACGTCACAGAAGTCAAGCCTCACAGAGGCCGCAAATATTCACTTGTTCTGGTCTGCACCTACTCCAGGTTCCTCCACGGTTGGCCGCTTAGTGCAGCCTGCCCAAAGATGCCAAAGAAGTAGACGACCTGCCTAGGCACGACAGCAACTCAGGCTGCCCATGCAGAGAGACCCTGACCAGACACCTTGGTCCTTCCACAGCCCTGCTCCAGCCATAACGCGGAAGCTGGTTGGTCAACACATTGCAGGATCTTGAACATCAGGTGGATGTTCATAAACGGATGGACTGACCCCAGGGGGGTGGTTTTCCTATTTCCTGTTTGGTTTGGCCGCTCTCGTGTTAACTTACTGTCTTGCCCTTCCCTAAATCTGGGGGCAGGCCTCCTGTGGGTCCCAGCCACCACCCTAATGTCTCACACACTTCAAGGGCTCTGGCTCTTCTCCGCGTGCTCCGATGGACCTTGTGTGCACCACTGGTGCCTACGGCTGTGTAAACCCACCCTGCGGCCTTGTGCCCTCGCCTTCCTCATCCCCGACGTCACCTGGTCAGGTAACCGAGCCCCCAGGCCTGCCCGTCGTTCAGACTGCAACCCCCGGCCGCCCCACTGTGGCCCTTCCTGTTTCTTCAGGTACAGACTCGGAGGCGGTGTGCGCAGGGCAAGTTCAGGGTCCCCCCACAAGCTGACGAAGATGTGAATAGCCTAGTCTTTACTGATACTCTCCAGCTCTTTGCTGGGGCATCAAAAGGGTGGGGATGAGCAGGACGTTGCTTAGTCTGCCGCTTAGGGGAGTCTGCAGCTTAGACTCTGCTGTCTTCTGGAGCACAGAAGTCGCTGGTGGTGCTGCTGGTCCACAGTAGTGACCATGGCCACCTTGACCCCCTTCCTGGCAATCAAGAATGCCTGTGCTATTAAGGGACACCCCTGAACCCCCAAACCTGCCTGCTCTAGGCAGATTCTGCCATCCGCCGCATCAAGACAAAACATATAAGACTTTAATGAAAAAGGAACTTTAACACAGTGAGTTTGCAACACAGGAGACAGAATATATTTTCTAAATCAGACACCGAAGTGACCCGTCCCCTCGCGGGCAAAAGCCCACCCAAAGGGACGGCCCGAAGCCGGGCCTGGAAGTCACCCCAGGGCAACAGCACCTTCTGGCCGGACCGCAGGACAGGGTCAGCGTGGCCAGACCAGCCTGGGGGGGACGAGCACAACCACAGTCAAGTTACACACCGCCACAGTCACCTCCCGGCGGGTCTCCCCGGTGGCTGTTTCAGCCAACCCGGGACCAAGGCAGCGCGGTTCCTCTCACGGCTCCCTGCGCTCCCTGTGGCATCCTCAGGCCTCCTCTGGCCCCACCTGCTGCCTTTCTCCTCAGATTCCTCCTCTTCTCTCCTCCTCTGCTCAGCTCCACCCTCTGGGTGGGGCCGGAACCTGGAGCCGCCCCTTTTCTGGGGAGCCCTGTTATCTGTGATGGGTGGGGTACCAAGCTTCCTCTTACAGCTGTACCAACCCTGCCACTTCTGCTGCCGGGGCTCAGCCTTTTGGGAACTCTGCTGCTGAGCGGGCCCGTGTGACTATTAAATGTCTCCCCCACTGCTTCTCTGCCATCTGGCTTCTCTGGGAAATTACCGTGACAGCAACTCAGGGCCATGGGGCCACCACCGGACGGGGTCCCCTGTTGGTCGGGACACCTCTGCACAGGCCACGAGGTCACAGCCCTCCTCACCCTCTCCTCTCCTGCAGCCTGGACAGTGCCGGGAGTGCCAAAGGCCTGCGGCTCGGCCCGGGGCAGGGCGGCGGTTGGGCCGCGCACCCAAGCTTGACGCGGCGACAAGCTGACCTCGCATCCGGATGGGCCCGCCGAGGGTGGCAACGGGCTGGGCCTTGCGTCGAGGACACGGCGCTGCGCCGCCCCTTTGGAATCTGCGCTCAGGACCCCCCTGGGAGACCCTCCCCCTTACTGGGGGGCAGTCGCTGCGGACCCCAGCTCCGTCAGCTGCCGCCGGGGGGCAGTAAACTCCGCTTGCTCGGCCTTTCCGCCTCCCGTCTGTCTTGCGGCCGGTCACAGAAGTGGGGACGAGACAGACAGAGATGTGCGTCAGCCTGACCCCATGTCCTGCCCAGCCCGTGTAGCGGGCCCAGACCCCTGCGGGCCCCTGGGACAGGGACGTGGAGGTTCTGATGGTGCCGAGACCCGGCCGTGTCCTTTGGTACCCGGCAAGCTGCGTGGCTGACGGGGCGCACTGTGGGGCGCCCCTGCGCTGGCGTTGCCCCCCACTGCGGCCTCCAGAGCGCCCGGCCCTGGCTGGTGGGAGGGGGCGTCCCGGGGACTGGCCTCCCGCCGC